ATAAAAGGACGAGCGCAACGCGAGGGAGCTCAGTATCAAAGTCTCCCAGCCCTGATGAAGCAGACTGCAACGCCTGCGAAACGTCGGCACCACACTGCAAACGGACGCGGCAACCATCCGGAAGCCATGAAGACTAAATAGCTTTTTTAGTTTTAATAAAATCTGAAATTAGAACTGACCTTTGCGATATAGAATTATTTTTAGATTTTTTAAAGTATTTTGCACGGGGGGCTATACTTCTTCCTCCTCCAAGATCTAACGCTCGATCTGATAAATAAGCTGGTAGGGATTTGACAGCTTCATCAATGTCACCTTCGTATTTACCATCTTCCAATCGCTGTCTATACATACCTATAAAATTTGAGAAACGGAAAAAATTAATAATTAATAAAAAAAAAGAGAATATAGTATTTCACAACAGTTGTATATTTACTTTGTGCTACCATTAAGAAGCGGAAACTTTTTCAATCCCGGCTTTCGAGGATAAACCCTCATTAATTTCGCATCTTCGCCGAAAACTCCAACAAGAAGAGTCACAGTCCAGTCACAATCATTTTTCGCTCTTTTCATTGTTATGAAGCTAGCTTGTGTGCAATAGTAACCACTCCCAAGATGAACCTAACGAAATAAAAGTTTATTGCAAAATGTTTTATTAAAAAGATCATAACAAAAGAAAGATAAACTACCTTATTTTCTGTTTCTGAAGATATTATACTGCTAGTGCTGTGTTTGTCTATGTTGCTACATATCCTTTCTGCAAAAATTTAGTCTATTTTGTTATAACAATTACTGTTAAAGCAATGCCTATCAATATATTATGCCTATCAATATACATGATTCGTTCACAAAACTTAAAGAAAGTATGTAATGCAAGAAAGAAATTTATCAGATAAAAGCTATTATTAAAAGGATTATGTGTTACATGCAGATGACTTTAATTACTAAAATATTTTAATAATTCAGCATTTAAAACCATTGGCTGAATTAAATAAAATAAAATAAAAATTACACTAACCCTACTCACCCAATAGTGATTGAATAAACTCTGAATTATGTCGTGCATTATTTACCCATTTTGTAACATATTGAACATTAACTGATGTGCTTGAATCAAACTTACCCATCACTTCCTCCATTTTGAACACAGTTTTTTCATACGCTTGTGTGAGTTGTTCTTTTACAATTTCAATAAATTTTTCTTCCATCATTTTGTTGCTCTTCTCCATTTTCTCTTCAATTTTCTGTACCACTTTCTCATGCAGATTTGACAACTCTCCAAGCGGAACAAACACGGTCTGCTTACTTTGATTATAATTGACGGATAATTGTTCTTGATCCTGTGAGCATCTCTTAGCAGCATGTCCATTAGAATCTGTTATCTGCTCAGAATCGTTAATTCCATGTTCTGATATTTTTTCCATACTATTATTGTACAGAAATTTTTCATATTCCTCTGTTGCTGCTCTTTTGTTGGATTTTCTTTGTTTTTGTAAGTGCATAAAATACATTTTAAAGAAAAAAAGTATATTAAAAATATTAAATATGTGTGATTAATAATTGAGTCGACCAGTTCTGGCAAAATTCGTATATTTAGTAATTCACGACGTTTCGATCAGTAATACTGATCCTTTTCAAGTAGATGTTATGTTAAATCTATCAGTTGTTACAGCAACAAATCTAGAAATTATATGGGAGTAACAATAGAGATATAAGAGGCTTAAAGAGAAAATACAAATAAAAACTTACAGAAAGTATGTCGTGGCGCATGATAAAATTATAAGCGAAATTGGAACTAAAATCACTCAGCACATCAACTACCACGGTCTGATCTTGTACAAGTCTAGAGAGGAACTGCCAAGATAAAGTCGTGTGGGAACAATAGTTTTAGGCTGGCGTGTCATCAAAATATAAGAAACCCGTGGGAAGGGGGGGGGGAGAAAGACGAATAACAGACAGGCAAATAAATAGATAAATAAATTAGGTGATACGAACGATTTTATCATAGATGGGATTGAGGTTGTCCGTATCTTGTTGGAGATTTATTGTGTTGTGAGATTTTTTGATGAAAAACATCTCGGCAATTTCTCTCTTACGATAATGAGATTCTTTGTGTAGGATGGTAGGGTTGTGCCAATCAAATTCGTGGCCCAGATGAGTTCGGTGTTTACTGACCACAGAGTGGTTGCATGTCGGTTTTTTGATGTCATTACAATGTTCTTTGATCCTCGTTTCGATATGTCTTTTTGTCTGGTCGATATAAGACGCGTCACAGTTGATACAATTTAATTTATATACGAGCTCGGTCTGTTTTGAGTCAACAATCCTGTCCTTCCCCTTTCTAACGATTACATTTAATTTCTTAAGTACTGAGAACCGAGTGTGTATGTCGTGTATTTTCAAAATTCGGCTAATCATATCGCTGACGCCACTAATGTAAGGTATGGTGACAGAATTCGTGTGGTCGTTACATTCAGTGGGGGGGACTGTTGTATCACAATTCGCAAAGTGCATGAGATGTTTTAGCCTCTTATGGATGTGCCTGTCGATGAAAGTGGAGGGATACGAATTATTCGAGAGTATGTTTTTAACTATGTCGATATTGGAGTCGTGAAAGCGTTGGTCAGCGAGTAAAATGGCGTGGTCAACTAGGTTGATTATGGTGTTTATCTTATATCTAATATGGTGACTAGAAAAGTAATTGATGTATCGGCCAAAAAATGTAGGTTTTCGATACCAGTTAGTTAATAATTTTCCATTCTCCCTGTGGACAGAGGTGTTCAGGAAATTCAAGGAACCGTTATTCTCTAATTCATAAGTGAACTTCAATCGTGGGTGATAATTATTGAAGGTATTGAGAACATCTTGGAGTCTGTTCACAGGGAGAATGGCAAAGACATCATCGACGTATCTATAGAAAACAGTGATCTCAAAATCTAAAGAATCGATACAATGCGTTTCCAAGTCGTCCATAATTATATCGGCGAGTATGGGGGACAGGGGGGACCCCATCGGAGTACCAAAGAACTGTTCATAGATCTGGTTATTGAATGTAAAACTAGTTGATTCGAGTATGAGTGTTATCGCGTATAAGAATTGGGGTAAGTTTAACTTAGTGGAAGTTGAAATTTCTTCCCATCTTTTTTCAATACCTTTGATTACTAAGTCCTTAGGGACGTTGGTAAATAGGGAAGTAACATCCAAAGAGACCATCACTTCATCGTGTCTGATCGAGAGGTTCTTAATATTGGTAGCGAAAGTCCAACCATCTTTAATGTGTGATCTCGGTTTTGATATGGAATCAAATAAAATTTTGTGTAAAAAGAAAGAGATGTTATATAACGGGCTGTTAACTGTAGACACTATGATGCGACACTTGGTCCAAGTTCTAGGCTCGGTCCGAGAAATGTGTAGCCAATAAAATTATCTCTTTTCCGTAAAAGCTGCTTATTGATTGGCAACAAATTTCTCGGTTCGAGAACTTGGACCAAGTTCTAGCATTGCACATAACCTTTATACAATCACGCTTGCCGCACACGTCAAGAATTAAGCGACGCGTTTAATGGTGGACTGCGCAAGACGTGCTTCTGTGATACATGCACCTTGATTAATTCAGGTAATGATGTTAGATACTTACGAAATCTTCTAGAGGAACTGTTATTTCCTTTAATGTTTGATCTCTCAACCGAAGATTCAACTCTTTTACTGGTCACGGGTGATTCAAATTGTCTATGTGTTGGATATCTTAACTGCTTCTTTTGCATGTCGTAATAGCCGTATCACACTAGCGGTTCGCGATGGCGTTGCCGTTGGCTGCTGCGTCTCGACCAATCAGAGAATAGCAAAGTATTCTCTGATTGGTCGAGATGCAGCAGCCAACGGCAACGCCAACGGCAACGCCAACGCGAACCGCTAGTGTGATACGGCTATAACATGTCTAAGTACGTCAAAAGCACTGAAATATGTACTAACTGGAACGCGCGCTAGAGCCGAGTCGTGTGTACCAAGAGAGAGCATCGTCGAGTGGCGTCTGTCATTGTCTAGTACAGTTCGAACCAAAAGTTAAATCGAAGCGCAGCACAACTGCGCGAGATCGTGTAACCTCTGACAACGAGCTAATTTCTCGATCGGACTGTACCTTTCCGTCCCCACTCTCGACCACCCTATGAA